GAGATTTCTGCCAAAGTTCAATCCAATTAGCTAATTGTCGAAAAAAAGTTGTTTTACCATCATTAAGAATAATCGCATTACCAAGTTTATTTGGGCTAAATCGCTCTTTAGAATTTGAAATAGTCCACCATTTGTGAAAAATTGTAAGAAAACCAGAAATGTCTTTACGTTCTGGAAAATAACTCTTGAAACCTGCAATTGTTGTTTCATCAAAAATTGATAGTGCAAGAGAAACGTTTTGCTTTTTGTTACCAGGGTGAAGACTCTGATATGAAATTTTTGGAGCTTTTCGTAAATTGGCTTGAAGTTTCTCATCTTTAGAATGTAGATGATGAAAATCTCCCCAAGTAATATAACCAGCTGGACAATTATTAGAATCATCTTTTATATTAAATGTAAAGGATGGAAAGACAAATTTTTTACAGTGTAATAAATTATTTCTGATATTTTTAACAAGATGAACACTATCATAAAATAAGTATATTTTAGTATTTGGACTATCAGGATGATTAATAAAGAAATTTGATTGATTACCAAATTTGGAACGAAGCAAACTAAATGCACTTACATTCGATTTATGATTATCGGTAACAACACCTCGAATTTTAAAACCAGATAGCGAAAGAGAACTAATAGAATCGGATATTTGATCTGAAAGCCATTTACCACTTATGTTAACTTCAGGTATCGCTTTAATAATGAAAGGAATTGATTTTTTTAAACTAACTATCATAAATGCAACAACTCCTTTGTACAAAGTACCTGTATCATCTGCACCCACATAAATACCACTACAATATTGTGCTTGTTTCTGAAGATAAAATTCATCTACAATTAATATTACATCTTCATGTATTGAACCTTTCTCACGAAGTGTTTTAACAGCCTTAATTGCATCAACTCCACCTTGTTTTATTTTATTCAACAAAGAAATTGAAGGTAATGGAAATGATTCTAGTAAAATTTCATATGCTTGTTTAGATGTATATCTTAATAATAAAGCATGTCTAATCATATCAGCAGAATATTGTGGTTGACCCTTGGCTTTATAGTATGTTCGACTATTCATTTCATCAAGAAGTATATTTCTATTAGAAGAAGCGGTATTTTTTATGTACGCTGCAAGATTTTCTAACATACTCAAACTAGTTAATTTAGAATTACGACCTTTAGATAACCATGGAGGAAGTGGAACATTATTTCCTTTATACTGCAAAGCTACACATAAGCAATAATCAATTTTTATTGATTCAAGAATTGATGGAAAAAATGTTATAGGATCAAATATTAAATTATAATAAACTACACAATTGAGATGTTTTTTAAATTTGAAACCTTCTGGTGAATGTTTAATACTTAGCATGGTCCATTCAGTAACTTTATCATTTTCAGAAAAAGAACTTAGTTCATCTTCTTGAAAAATACGACTTTTAGGTGGTCTTCTCAAAGCAATAAGCGATGCTAATGTGGAAGGACGTTTTAAGCAATCACTGGAGAAAATTTCAGGAATAGGATCAAAATTCCAATTTAACTTGCATTTTTTACCACGGATGATAAACTTTTTATTAAAATGCTTTTCACACAAAACGGAGTTTGGTGAAGGCACCCAATCAGTACGATTAACAAAATGAACCCAATAATTCAGTAACTGTTGATTTTTTAACGGAAAATGAAAAGAAGCAATTTTTTTATCTTCTAAAGAACTGTTGTATCCAGTTTTACAACCATATGCAACACACTTGTTAACCATGATATGATTCAGCTTTTTTAGTATTTATTAACTTTCTAAAACAGTTATTATATATTATATATATATATATATATATATATATATATATATATATATATATATATATATATATATATATATATATATATATATATATATATATATATATATATATATAATTTGCAAGTTCTACTTATTATGCAAGTTGCTTTTTATGTTGCATAATATGCAAGTTTAAAATTAATAGTTTTATCATTCAACTTGTTGTCTTTTTTTGTGCGAAAATAGGCCTCTTAGAATCGGCCTCTAAAATGTAACATATACGACCGTATAATATAGTAGGCCATGCTGCATACTATAAAAACTTTTATTTCTAGTCTTTTTCTTGCACTTCAACCCTTTAGAACTATTTTCCATGAACTCTTTTCCATGTTTTCTGTCAACCGTTTCCTTGCTCTACAACTCTATTCTTTGTTTTCTAGTAACTCCTCAAATTAATAGTGGCTGCTTGACGCTTTTTTGGGAGTGAAACTGAATATAAAAAAATAATAATAACATTGTTAGCCTTTTTTTTATTGTGAAAATTGCTTTTCTTTATTGTACTTGCCATTTTCTTACTCCTGATTTTATTATCTACCTCTACAAACTACCCTTTGAAATATTGTTTTTATATTTGGGCTGTTTCTTCTGATAATACTCTTTCTTTTCTAGACAAGGTCTAAAAACACACAGTAAATGTAGTTTTTCTTATGATTATCAGAAAGATTTATTATAAAGAATGATTATCAGAAAGATTTATTATAAAGTGAAAAAATATATTATTTTATGTACTAAAAAGTTATGATATCATATTACTATGTTTTGCAGCACCATAAAGGTTAGGAAACTTTGTCTGTTTAAATTTCTGAAACTATTGTTAATAGAGTTGATTTTTAACTCTATTAACTATTGTAAATAGAGTTAAAAATCAAAAACCTATGGTAGAGAGATTTATGTTTTATGTAGTAAAGTCCAAAAACCCAGACAATAAGAAAAATCTTCTTTGATAAAATTGCATTTTACATTCATTTAAAGCTATATTTTATATTTAATGTTTTACTATTTTACATTTCTTCAAAACTAAATTTAAATTTAAAAAAATCATATTTAATTTAAAGTCTTTAAAAAAATTTTTTTTTTTATAAAACAATTTTTTTTAAACAAATTCTCAGTTGCGGTTAAATGCTTTTTTTTACAACCTAATATTTTCTGTATGAACGCAACATAAACAATATTTAAAGATAATTTTAATAAATAAATTTAAGTTTAACTAAAAAAAATTTTCCGTCCAATTAAATGCTTTGATTTTTTATATTTTACAAAAATTTTGTCATATACCAATAACCTCTTGTTTGCCAGTTTTTTGTCAAATACCAATACCCTCTTGTTTGCCAGTATTTTGTCAAGTATCATTACCCTCTTGTTTGCCAGTATTCTGTCAAGTACTAATATCCTCTTGTTTGCCAGTATTTTGTCAAATACCAATACCTTTTTGTTTGAATTTGTATGTGCACCTTTTTTTTTGCTTTTTTGGCCATGTCTAGATAAAAAAAGTCCCCCCGTACAGTGTTCTTTTCTTCACCCTTCAAAAGACACTTCATTTTGTTGTTAAACAGATCACAATTTTGAGATATATCTGTTTGTGGATCGTGAAAATATAAGTTTTGTATTCAATTTTTGTCAAATTGGAAAAGGTGAAAATGGAGTGCAACAATTTGGGTGTGATCATTTGAGTATAATCATTTTAATTACAGTTGTAAACATATTTCTCATACATCGTTGACATTTGTAAAGTTGGAGGCAGATGATCTCGGTTCTGGTTTTTACATAAAAATAAGTTTTTTACATTAAAAATAAGCAATTAAAAGTTTAAAGGTTTAATTTGCTTTGATTAGTATCATGTTTAATCAGGATCAGGTTTAAAGATTTGATAAGGTTGTAAGGTTTAAAGATCTTGATCAATACTTTTATTTTGTGGAACCCATTTACTCCTATGGTCTTAGAAAGGTGTACCATATGTAAAATTTTTGTTATTGTCCAATCAGGGATCTACAATCGTCCTTGAAGTAAGTTTTGCAAACTTTTTAAGCATTTCCATCTGCATCCATTTGGTTGTAGGTATGATTATTTGTCATTTGGGAGTTATTTGATGCTGTATATGTCCTTTATTTTTTCTTCTGCATTAACAAACCCATTACATAGGCATTTTTTGAATTCATGGTATAAAATGAAGAAAAATTTTATTACAGGAGCAACTGTTATTTTACTGCTGCACTCTAAATTGTAACCACAATTACTATCAATAAAAATCTTTGTTTTAACTACTTTACCCTTTTTTGTAACATATCCTTCATAACGTTGACTCATTTTTTTCAAAATATTTCTTATTAAATGTTCTGTATGGGCAACTTCCTTATTGCTATAATATTTTCCTTCAGTATGGTTATCGGCTGTTTCTGGCACTTCCTCTAACATTTCATGCTTGAATGAGTTGATTTTTCTCCTTTGCAAAAGAAGCAGATTTTCTTCACATACTTCCTGAGTGATGTTCTTTTCGTTCCTTCTTCTCCAACAAAGTTAAAACTTGAATCTTCAATGTCATGTTTTGAAAAAAACTAGAAGAAGAAAATCAAATTGAGATTAAAAACTAAATTATTGTATGATAAACTCAATAAAAAGCTGCATTAATATTACACATACTCTCACTAACATGTTAGTGAGAGTATGTGTAATATTAATGCAGCTTGTAATGTGCATTTGAAACATCACAATCACTTTTGATTAAGTATTCCAAATCTGATCTGTTCAGTTGTGCCATGTTAATTTTGGGCAATTTCAACATTTCAAGTGTTGTTTTTCTGCTTAGGTATATGATTATGCGCAGCACTGAAGTAGCAGCACTGGAACTAAAAAATGTGGGTTAAGCACCTATTCCACTGAGCCCATCATATGAATGAATAATGTTATAGTATTAAATAGTTCTAGCTTTATAAAAAAGTAACTAATGAGACAACTAAAAAAGATAAAAACAAACTGAATTTAAAAATAAAATAATTAAGTTAAATTTTATACATTTTTTTATGATATACTAAGAAGAACATTCTTGTATAATATTTTTATGTTATATAATATATAAACCTTAATTTCAATAAATTTTTTTGTTTTTGATAAATAATAAATCAGAGATTGAATCATGTTTAAATAAAATTTTAACCAAGTACCTTTATTTTAGTCGCCAAAGATTTTGTATCAGTCTATATCATGGTGCCCCAAATAAATATCCCACAATTATGGCTTATACTGATGTATTAAAAAAAAAAGAAATGAAATCTTCTAAAGATGTTACTATTTGTAGTGAAAAGGAATTACTTGGGGTATGTCACAATTTAAATGTTACAGAAAAAAAAGAATATAAGACTATTGAAGATTTGCATGGATGGGGTGATAAAATAAAATCAATTTATGTTCCAGGTAATTTATTTATTTTTTAATATAATATAAAAATATATATAATGTATATATACTTTTGTATACATGTTACATATAACATATATATAAAATGAAAGTATTTAATATATAGCAATGTATAGCAAAACCTAAAACTACTGTTAAGCTCAAAATAAAAAAATGATAAAACTAAAAAAAAATTTTAATTTATAGATCATTACATATCAAATCAGCAGGCTCATGTCACCCCATTTTTTGAAGTTTGCTAATTTTTTTATATGTTGTAGGATTTATGAAAACAAAGAAAATCTGAAAGTTCCAACCTTTAACTTCTTATGGTTTTTGAGATATTTAGGTTTCAATTATCTTATTAAGGTTTTTCTAATCTCTGTCTAAAATTTTAGCTCCTTTTATTGTCTTAAAAGAGTTGTACCACACATCCATCTGGTCATTATTTTCTGTTTTGGCAAAAGTTACACCAAATAAATTCTAAAGTTTATATAAATATGTAAGGATATTATATGCTAGTATCTAAAAAAATAACAAAAACTCGTCTCTTACCTAACCTCCTGGGTTCAAGCAGGTATGGAAAATTTAATTCTCTCTTTTCAGTTTTAATTCAAGCCTCGTTCTACCCCAATTAGAGTGAGGCTTGACTTAAAACACCTTTCACCTTTATGTGTAGTTGCTTTCGCCTTTATGTGCAGTTGTGTAGTTTTAAGTTAAGCCTCATTCTATTCCAAGTAGAATGAAGCTTGACTTAAAACACCTTTCACCTTTATGTGCAGTTGCTATACCAAACCATAATCATGTTTTTTATATTATTCAGATAAACATCTCTCCTAAGAAAAATGTCTTTTTATGATTGCAAGAAGTAAATGTAAAAAGATGCCTGTTGCTTAAAACTGTTATTCTCTGTTTATTAAATTCATTATTTTGTCATTAATGGCTTTAATAAACTTTAATTTACTAAAAAAGTTTAGTAAATTAAAGTTTATTTTTATTATATTTTTAATTTAACTTAATTTACTAAAAAAGTTTAGTAAATTAAAGTTTATTAAAGCCATTATTGACCAAATAAATTCATTTTAAGAAGCTTTTAAATGTTTCAATGTGCTGAAATAAACTATTCACGTCATTAACTCAAGTAAGTCAAACATTCCATCTTTAGTTTATGATTTCTTTTTCCAAAGATAAGGCTGAGAACTATTTGCCAAGAATTTTTCCACTAATTCCACTATTAAATCTAATGGCCATACTCTTCCTGCCATTCCAGTTAAACAAATCAACCAATTGATAGACATCCAAATCATTTCCATTGCTAAAGTCAATTCTCAATTATACACTTTTACAGTTTGTGGTTTAGACAACATTTCCATAATAGTCTTTTAAAAGTGTTCTCTCCTTGATTCTTGCTAAACTTATAACTTATAAATTCAAATCCTTGATTCAAATTTTTAAATCTCTAGAAAATGTTCCGACTTCTCTAAATTCCAACTATCATATGATTATTTCTCTCTATATTATTAGTTTCATATATATCTTCCAGTAACTTAAAATGTACCACAATATTCAATATTTGCTCCTGTATTGTTTCTTTCTACAATAACAACCTTCCTGACTATTTTATATTTAAAGTAGTTCTATTTGCTGGCGACTCAATTTTATACTCTTGTCTTGACACCTTTTGATTGTTTAGAACAAGCAGTTATTTTTTAATCTTACGTCTCTTTTGTAACAGATTAAGGTTGACAGGGGCTTGCGGATTTTAACTCTAACAAACTCATTTATTTATTGCAAACAACAATCACAATATTGTTGACATTCCTATATTGATTTATAACAAACCTTTCACTCTCAGACAAGGTTCAAAACATATTGTAAATATATTTGGACCTGCTTTATCTGCCAAGCATCATTTATTATTTTATCATTTAACTACATTAAATGGTGGTTTCAATTATTATTTTTGTATTTATTTTTTTAGAGCACTTAACAGTGAGTGGATTTTCTAGAGCATATTTTAAAGGTAGGTTATAATTAACTAATTGATATATTTTTGAAACTGTTTTTTCACTTCTGGTTGTTTAAAAATACTATAATTCCTAATTTCAAGTAAATATCTAATAATAACATTGAATATAATAATAATAATAATAACAGTAAAAGTATATTTATAACAATTTTAATAATAAAGATAAGAATAACAGATATTATAACAACAATAAACCACTTGTTTTTTATAAATACAATAGATACACATATAAAGTTATATATAGTATGTATAACTTTAGATTTTTATGTTTTATAAACATTAAAAAATTTATAAAACATAAAATTCTACATTAACATAAAACAGTAATACAAAACTTTAAATGGAAAAAAAACAACAATGGTATATCAGTATAGTTTATAAATATAAATTGTTTTCATATGCCATTTAATGGTATATTTAACAATATATAAAATTTTATTTATATATGATGGTTACATAAAAATAATGGTATACCGAATATTTTTTTTCAGGTCTTTTTTAATGTATAACTCACACACTTATGATGATGCTAAAACTATTTTATTAAAGAATATTTAAATCAATAAAAAATTAGTTTTGAAATCATTTATCACATTGTTGTTATTTTAAACACTGTTGTAGTATTTTTAACTTTTAGGCTAAACACTGTTGTTTAATGGATTTTAGACTAAATTCGAGTTATTATATAGTTTTTAATGCAGTTTTTTGATGTTTTTGATATAGTTTTTGACACTGATTTAAAAAAATAAAATCAGTTTTGAGCTAGCATCAATACTTTACTACACCTTTATAAACCAGCTATTTTTCTTAATTTGAGTCATTTCACTTCTAACTTTTTAGACAAAAGTCTGGTGCACAACTCCCACATCTTTTATTTGTTTTCAATTTGTTACAGAAAATTGCAGAAAGTAATGATCTTAACCTCATTAGAAATCTTTATTTACCATTTTCTCCTTCTTTTTTTTTAGTGTTTCATGTACACATAGCATACCAAAAAACTTATATATATATTTCGGCTCCCATAATATTGAAGCTTCAGTTTCATTGTCTATTTGTTGTTTTTTTAACTTTAGGCTTTAAAACTTCATTCTATTCTTTTACTGATCCCATCATTATTTTATTTAATATGACGGCAAAATTTAATTAAATAAAAAAAAAAATACTGTTAGCGTTATTGGGGTCATATTTTTAAAATTTGGAAAAATATACGTAATAAATTTTGCCTTGCATTCATAATTTTGCATTTTATTAATTTGTTTGAAACTTTCTTCAGTTATTGTATAGGTAATGACTAAAAACCAGTCATATCCATTTTTCATTTAAAAATTTTCTAGACAAATCAAATTAAAAGAAAAACAAACATATTTCAATCTCAGTGAACAATTAGTGTTGACATCACAATTTCTGTTATGAAGGTGCTTTTCAAAATCAGTTAAAACAGCCAGCATCTACAGGATGGGCACAGCCAGCATCTACAGGATGGGCACAGCCAGCATCTACAGGATGGGCACAGCCAGCATCTACAGGATGGGCACAGCCAGCATCTACAGGATGGGCACAGCCAGCATCTACAGGATGGGCACAGCCAGCATCTACAGGATGGGCACAGCCAGCATCTACAGGATGGGCACAGCCAGCATCTACAGGATGGGCACAGCCAGCATCTACAGGATGGGCACAGCCAGCATCTACAGGATCAAGCACAGCTTATTATAAAGAAAACCATGTTATAATAACTTGAAATGTTTATAAAATTTTTACGGATAGAAACAATGATTAAACATGTATTAAAATAATAACAATATTATATTGACAAAAATTATTTTATTATAATATCATTTTTGCAATGGGATCAATCTTTAAAAAAAATAGCCAACTATAAAAATCATATTCAAAGAGCAAAATAATTATCAACACTAAAGAATTAAGCAAATTTCATCATGGTAATACCAAATGTTGGCTTTTATGATTAATAGCAGTTTTGTAGAGTAATGAAACTAACCATAATCATATTTAACATTAGACGTCTACAGGAAGGTAAGCTTAGCTGTTTATCAACGTAAAATAATAAAACAATAACGTCACTGCAATTATGCAAAGAAGTAGCACTTGGCATAAGATATTTGTAGGTTCACATTACATCACACCAGATATATGTGTTTTCTAAATAATTATGAGAGGATAGACAACAAAACCTAGATAAACAACAGTAAAACCTCTTGGACTAAATGCTGTCACATCTCTTCTTAATAAACCATTTGACTGGCATAGTTGGCAATATTGCTCTACATCATTAAATATTTTTTTTGTAAAAAATTAACGGGTATATACTAAAAATCCGGACATACTTTCAAGGGTCACTACTCCCATAGTTTTTAAGGTAAAGATTGAAAAAAATTATTATTAAATAGAGTTTTTAGTTATTTAATTTAATTAAGTTTGTCCTCAACCAGTCTGTTTCTTTGGATTCGACCAACTTGAAGGCAAGTTGACCCAAAAAGTGAAAAGACAAGGTTAAGGTTAATTTTTTCAGACAAAACTTTATTCTGGTTTGTAGTTGCTTCACGTTTTTTGCTTGCCAGTTATCCTTATATGCTTTGCCTTTCAAAATAGCCCAAAAGTCTTCAATTGGGCAACACTCTGGTACGGCTGGCAGATTGTCAACTTTTTGACAAAATTGATTTTGTGAGTCAGTTGGTCACAGTTTTAGCATAATGTGATGAGGTTATGTCTAGCCAAAATACATAATTACCATTGGAATGATGAGCATTGATAAATTGGAATGATGAGTATTGAAATAAAATTTGTTGTAAAGGATAACCTCAAAAATCACAATAAAGAGGATTAATGCCGGTCTTGATTCTCTCAATCTGGCTTCTTTGTCTATCAGGTATACCTTGTTTTGTATAAGTTTTGATGTCAGTGTACTTGGCAAGAGTTTTAACAATATGTGAATGACTGCATCCAAGTTTTTGACTGGCTTGCCTCATCAAACTCGGTCACTATGGTCAAATATGGTTCTAAAATGCTTGATCACCTTCGGGGTCATAATTTTGGCCACAGGAACACTTCTTTGCAATCTTTTGTGTCCAAAATCATTCTCAGCACGTTTAATTATATCATAGATAGTGTTTCTTGGAACTTGTTCAGCATTGAAGTGATCTACTGTGAACTTTTTACCTTGCAATTTATTATTCAAATAGAACTCGTAAATCTGTTTTCTTATCTCTTCTCACTTCGACATCATTATTATTATAATTTTTATTAATTATCTAAAAACAAGTAAGTTAACTTATAGAGAATCAAATATGCTTTAAAATAGAAATAAGAATGAAAAAAAAGTTTAGCTTATGGCATTTATAAGTTAGTTTAAATTTAGTTAAGATTTTTAGTCACCACCCATTATGTGTTTAATGGTAAAACAATAATCACTAATAAGTTAGGTTTTCATTCGTATCGTAAACTTAACTTTAAGAATTTTATATTCAATTTTTAAAACAATATTAGTACTTATAAAAATCATGGAATATATGAGTTTCTTACTAATTTGGTTAAATAATGCATTAAAATAATGTTTAAACAAATAAAAAGTATAAATAATAAATAAAAAATATAATTAATAACTAAAGTTAACAATAATGCAACTTGTGCTTGCAAACTTTGAATTTTTGAAATAAAAATCCCAAGTCAATAACTTTTAAACCAGATTAATACCCTTAGAAAATATAACATTATTTGTACAACATTTTATCATTCCTTGAATGGGATCTTTATATACACTGAACATCATTGATAAAAATTGGTTACTGGAACATCATTGATAAAAATTGGTTACATACACTGAACATCATTGATAAAAATTGGTTACTGGAACATCATTGATAAAAATTGGTTACCATACACTGAACATCATTAATAAAAATTGGTTACTATGAATACACTGCACACTAAACGATTGTGGCGAGATAGCTCAGATGGTTAGTGGCGGGATAGCTCAGATGGTTAGAGCGTTAAGGGAAAAGTGAAAACCCGGACTGTTGAACGATACGAGTTCAAATCCCGCTACCGCCAACTCAGCGCTTGAGTAGTACTTCGGTACGCAAAAATGTTGGTCAATAACGGACGCTACTTTGGATTAGTCTTAATGACTATTTGTGGCTGTTCCTATGCTAAGCCAACAATATCTTTGGATATAAGAACATTGTATAGAAAAATATAGCATAAAAACTCAAATAAATAAAAAAATTAAAAAAAAAAATTTATCACTTATGAAAAACAAACTTTTAAATGCAAACTCTTAAACACGCAACATATTGTGATGATAAGAGAAACGCAATTTTTTATTTATTTAAACTAACTCCATCAAACATTTGACCTGACGATTTTTCAGAATAAAAAGAAATTAGAATCTGATAGAGTCAACAAAAGTCGATAAAAAATTACCCGTTTATCACCAGAAGCAACTGTTAAAACCTTAGCATCAATAAAGTTGTTTTGAAGAGCATAACCTTTGATTGCAAATTTTAATAAATTTCTAAATAACATAATTACTCAACTAATTTTAAATTTTAAACAATGAAGTGGCATAACTGTAGAAATAAAGTTGTTCAAAATCTGAACAGTAAAGTTGTTTCTTTTATTAGGGTTGTCCATATCAATTTAATCAGTACTTAAAAATGCATTTATCTTCTGGTTCAAGCACTTGCTCATTGATTGACAGTGAATTCACATAGTGACTGTTAAAATAATTTGTTTAGCATAATCATCTCATTCTTCATCTTCAAACATCTCATTAACAATCAAACCTATTCTCTATTTTTAGAAACTTCCTTTCTGAGAGGTATTATTCCACTACCGTGTTTTAATAGCCATTGTAAAAACTTTCCTTACCTACCATGTACTTTTATTTTAAGTTAATGCAAACTTTGGCTATTATTGCATGTTTCTACAACTTCAGCCTTTTCCACCAAAAAAAAATTATTTTACCAAATGGAATGTTGTTGTTGCAAACATAAAATGGAAAATATACTACTACATTACCTGCTATATAGGTAATATATAGCTGCCGCATAGCCTGTGGTCAGCAACATAGCTACTGCATAGACATGTAGCTCTTTATATAAGATATAGTATTCAATATTTTAAATAAATTTTTTTAAAGTATATCAAGCTTTAGAGATGAACTTTAGTGATATAAAATCAAAATTAGTAAAACAAAAAAAGAATTTAATTTGACATAATTGTCACTAAATACATTAAATTAGACATATACAGCCAATTAAATGTTAGCAGATTCTATTTTAGCCAATAAGTATTTTGACAGCCACATATTTGGTGCTTTAGCAAAACATCTAGCCGAATTCCAAATATTCGACTAGGTGCTTGGCTGAAGCATTAAATATGTGGTTGCCAAATATTCAGTGACACTTTTCCATTCAAACTAGCAAAGTACAATTCAAATGAAACATCTTTTAAGAAGTTTAAATATATTTTTATAACCAGAGAAAAGCTTTTTTCTGGTTATAAAATTAAATTTAACTTTAACTCATAAAACGGGTGTTTTATTTAGACTAAAAGCTTATAAATTAAAAAAATAAAAACTATAAATATTTTTTTAAGTAAACACTTAACATTATGGTGTATTTAAAAGGGAACACCAAATGTAATTTAATAAGATTATAAAAGTTTCAGATTAGAAGAAAATTTAAATGGTTGATTTGTCTTAACAAGGATTTTTGAGGTAACTTTTTTTGCCAGAATACCCACAACACATCGTGGGTATTCTGGCAAAAAACTTTACACTGTGGGCGTTTTTGTTTATACATGACTTGGCTGTGTAACAGCACACATTATTAATAGACTGTTACATCAGTTCGATTTAACTATAGTTATGTATAAATGTGGCAGTGTATGATATCTTTAATTATAACTATTACTTATTTTTTGTTTACTCTTCCAAAGTTTTATAAGAACTTCTGGGAGCACCTTAATAACTACATAATAAAAAAAGGAAAACAATTATACCTAATTAAATAATCAGTTATGTATTTTATTATTATTTTTTTACTTTCATACAGGACCACTTCAACCTTGAAGCCCTGGGACAATTTTAAATTGTGAAGCTCCAAAAACTAAATGTTATTTATATGGTCACATTGTAAATATGATTGTAAAGATTTATATTTCAAGTAGCCTCTAAAACTTCTCTAAAACAGTCTGAGAATAAATTGTCCAGTTCTTGGAGCAGTCGTTCACTCATATTGCTTTGCTCCATTAGCATTTAAACGATATGATGTTAAAAAGTAGAAAGTGAAAATAAATTGTTTAATTATTTTAATGACAATTTATTTAAAAAAAATTTTTTTTTTGGATTAAATTGACTTTAAGTCGACTTTTATAACTTAATATTCAATTTTAGTTTATTTTTATAATAATTATAAAATTAGTTGATTTTTATAATTTATTAGTCAATTTTAGTTGACTTTAGAAAATATATTAGTCGATTTAGTCTACAGTTGAACTATATAATAATTAAAGCAATACTAATATTTATAAATATTTGTATATATATATATATATATATATATATATATATATATATATATATATATATATATATATATATATATATATATATATATATATATATATATACAAATATATATATATATACAAATATATATGTATATATATATATATATATATACAAATATATATATATATATACAAATATATATATATATATATGTATATATATATATACACAAATATATATATACATATATATATATATATATATATATATATATATATATATATATATATATATATATATATATATATATACAAATATATATATACATTAGTCTTTCACAGGAAGACGTGCAATCGCCATTAGTGAAAGTATCATAATGATTATTTTTACATAATGATTTTTTTATTTTGTGGCTTTTTTGTTCCACTATTCAGATCAGGTAATAACAAAAAATAAAAAAAGCTGGTACCTTTTTGCATCCTGTAGCAGCACTCCCTTGCGTCAATGTAGCAACACTCTGTTGCAAGTCAGGCTATAATATAGTCAATGTAGCAACACTCCCTTGTGGCACTAAAGTTGTAGAAATAAAGATGTAGCAACACTCTGCGCTTTTTTTAAAAGTATATTTTAATAAAACAACAACAAAAACACCATTAATTAAAAAAAACTTTCTAGTCACTATTATTGCAGTTTTTTCAAAAACAATAAAATTAATGTACTTCCATATTAATTTAATTGCTTTGACATTTCAACGACAATAAAATGTAGCTTAATTGTCAAGGTAGCAAAATATAAGTAACAAAATATTAAGTTGTTATTAAAAATAAATAATAAAAACATTTTATATTGTTTCTTTTTTTAAACCTTAGCTTTTAAAAATGTAATTATTGAAGTGACCACAACTATAAATGTAAAAGTAAAAGTAAAAAATAAAAAAAAATTAAAACGCGCCTAGGCTTAGGAATTAAAAGTTATAATTCTTGAAAATATCAATTTTTTAAGTTAAGTTTAAATAATTATTTAGAGCCAAATTTTGGTTGGTATACTGGACCAACTGTAATTGGGACTGTGCCACATAACCGTGATGGAAAGTGGAACTCATTTAAAGTTGATCCAACACCAACATTAGCACATCAAATGATTCGTTTATGTTTGAAACAAAACTTTGAACAGGTATATTTGTTTCTTCAAGTTTTGTGGTTGTAAAATATTTTGCACATAACATTAAAATGATAACATAATAATATAATGATACCATAAAATTTTGAAAAAACGTAAGAAACTACTTGTTTCAAAAATTTGTTTTGAAACAAATAACTAGATATATTTATAATATAAATTATTAGCTCAAATTATAAACTTTTAATTTTAAAATTTACAATTATTTTTTTTTCTTCTTATAATCAACAAATTTTTCTTGTTTCTGATTATTTTGATTGGTTAGTATAATAAAGTTTAATATATTCCTAAATTTTTGTTATTTATAAATAGAATTAATCTGAATTTACTCATATGTTAATAACAAGTATAATTAAGTAATTGTCATTTAATTTTTTGAAAAAATGGTGTATGGTTTTAAGAACTATAATTATATCTTGTATCTTCTTTTAACCACTATGTATTATAGACTTTAAAAATTGCAATTCAATATATTTGTAGATATTTCTATATATGTTTTTTATTTGTTTTGACAATGATGACAAAAAGATGATGATAAAAAGATAATAAAAAATTTAAAAGTCAAAGACAGTTATAATCCTAATTTTATCTGAAACCAATGAACTATATAAGAATCTCGATTTGCTGATGATTCAATCAAAAATGAGTTTTGCTTAATGGAACTAGAGATGATAAGTCTTTTGAAGTAGAATCACTGAACTATCTGAACAGAATATTTTAGTTCTAAAATTGAAAGTTTTTCCTTATTTATAATTGTTAGGTAGAATTTTGTTTATAACATTGATCACCTTGTAAGGATTAGATAGTTTACTAGTGTGATTTAATTAGTTTACTTGTGTGATTTGACATTGATCACCTCTTTAAGGTTAGAAAAAAACCCTTAATGTACAGGGTGACCACAAAGTATCTGCACAGATAAAGAGCTTAATAAAAAGCATGTAGAAAGTATTTGGAACACAAATTTTATTTTAAAATATTTATTGAACTATAACAATTATGATTCAAAGATTAAATTCAAATTTTCCTCCATCAGCAAAATAACAGGCCTGTAGGCGTTTCGGGAATGCTTCGACGGTGGCGAGCAAGTAGGCAGGGTCCAGAGAATCCCAAGCTTTCAGTAGTGATTTTTTTAAACTTTCAATATTTTTATGCGGCTTTTGGCATGCCTTTGCTTCTAGGACGCTCCAGACTGAGAAATCCATCGGGTTAAGATCGGGGCTCAATGGCGGCCATTGAGAAAAGTTGACGATAAGGAGAAACGCGCACCATTCTAAAAAAACCAATAGAACATAGTTTACAAAGTATATAAAGTAAAGTATATAAAGTTTATGACATAATATTAACCAAAAACAACAAATAAATAAGAAAATACACTTTGTGGTCACCCTGTAGAATTTCTCTTTTTGGGAACTGGCACATCTATCATGTATGTTCTTTATTTGTTTTAAATCAGAGAGTTGTTACATAACACAGCAACAACCTTTGAGCAAAAAGAGTTGACAATGATAAAGTTTGGCACCTTTAAGTCGTTAGTTTCTCAAAAACTAATTTTTTGTATTTTGTATTTTTTTGACACATAGCTAATTTAATTATTTGTTTAATAATTTTTTACTATTTTTATCAGACGCTTAAATAGAAACTAAATATTTTTCCAAGTACTTGACATCTACTGGAACTTGCTTTGAGAATTTTTTTTAAAGCTGTTGTCCATTTTTTTCTGAAAATCTTTTTTATCTGAAGCCAATTGCTTGCTTTTTTTAACAAAATTCCTTTTATAATTAACCAATAATTTTCAATAACTGGCTGCTCAGGATAATTACTCCAATAAATCTTACCTGTAAATTACTGCTTTGTAATAAAAATAATAAAAAGTGAATAGGAGTCAATATATCAATCTAAAAAATTAAAATTCACAATGTCCTTTAATCAAGAAACACCAATCAAAAACATCAAAGTACTTTTAGGTGCACAAAAAAATGAAATCCTACAAGCAATTAACACAAATCTTTCTAAAATAACTAGCAACATAGCTGAACTAAAAATTACGTATGTTAATACTAAATTTACAGTACAAAAAAATATGAATGATATTAATGAAATACGACAGCAACTGCTTAATTTGACTTTATACAATAAAACATTTTTGGAAGGCATTATTAAGCTTAGTGCTACATTAGATGACCAAAAACAAAAATTTAAGGAAGACACTGATTTTTAAAAAACATGTCTGTTGATACAAAAAAATCCAAGGAGTTCTTGTCTGATACCTAATTATTGCAGATACCATTGCAAAAGTGGCTAAAATTGACCCAAAAAATGCCCATGACATGATCAAATGTAGTCATTAAGGAAAAGTTCACAAAAACAGCTATTATTTTGTTTTCAGTGTTATTTAATAGAAGATGTTCTATTAAATAACACTGAAAACAAAATAGTATAAAATTTTCTTGTTAGAAAATGTGCGCTTGGTTGGTTTCATTTAATCAGTAAAAGTCTTATTTTTTGAAATATTTTTTTGAATTTAATTTGAAAAAAAGTAACAATAAAGAAAGCTCAACACCTTTATAAATAGCTCGAAAACTCGAAAAATGTTTATTGATTGTTTCTATTTTTTTTCATTTTTTGTATTTTTTAGTACTTTTTTTTTATTTTTATTTATTTTATTTTTCTTTATTTTATTTAATTCTTGAAATGTTTCGAATATTAGCTACTAATATTTCTTTTAAGTTAGCAACCATAAAACACAGCAAGACAAATTAATTGTTTTGCCTGACAGTTAGTATTTATTACACTTTTATATATATACACACATAAATATAACAGTATTCATATCTTTTTATACTCAATTACCCATTATTGGTGTGCAATTTTCAAGTTTATAGTTTCTAAAAATCATAAAGTTATATTTATTGATAAGTGCCTTTTTTGGGTTCATCTAAAATGTAATGACAGCGACTACCAAATGTTAAAAAGTTCATCAAAAGACAATCCATGGTTATGTAAAAATTGCTTAAACAGCATATTTCCATTTAATAATGGATAATAATTCTGGAAATAAAAGTTTCAAAAAAGCTAACATCAATAAAGTCAACAATAAAGTTCACAAAACTATTTCTGCCATGGATTATAACATTGAAAACCTCAGTTCTGTCTTTAATTCATATAATAATTATGGGGTTGACAGCAGTAAAAATGATTATATACAAATTCTTAGCAAATACAAGGCCGTATGAACAAAAATTATATTGGGGGGCAGTACTTCCCTAAAACAGTTTAAAAGACCTTTTTTTTTCAATTCATTTTTCAATCAATTTGTTCAAAATTATTTATTTGAAAAATTGTTAGGGGCGCAAATGCCCCTTCTATCCTATCGGTTGCCAAAGTACCTGAACTATACTGATATTGATAATCTTAATTATAGTACAAGTAACAAATCATCATTTAAGATTCTTTATTTCAACATTGGTTCTCTCACAAAAAACTTTGATCTTTTGAAAATTTACTGTTATCTACAAAAATTGAATTCGACATAATTGAATAGCCAAATCTAGACTATTTAAAAATCGAACACCTTCTACCAACATCTCTCTTAATGGGTTTTGTTATGAAAATGATCTTATTATATATAAAGCAAAAGTACTAGAATTCATTTTTATTGAAATAGTAAATCCCAAAAAATCTAATATCATCATTGGCTGTGTATACAAGCATCCAACCATATTGTTGGATGAATTTATTGCATTCTATATCAAACAGTTTTATTAGGTCTAATAAAACTGTCTAAAAGAAAACAAAACTATATTTATCCTTGGAGACTTTAACATTGACTTACTAAAAATTGACCAGGATCAAATTTCTAAAAATTTATTAGACTCACTCACTTCAAGCAAATATCTTTCATCCTACTTGAATAACCAGTTCATTAAAAAAACTAATTGATAACATATTCTCTAATCTCAAATCAAATGATTTTAGAGCAGGCAACCTTACTACCTCAATATATGACCAACTTCCCCAATTTTTCCATAATTTAAAGCTTATAATATTTAAAAAAACCCAACCTAATACAAAGCTATTTACTCAGATATGAAACTAGAAAATACTTGACGAGGACTCATTTAGAAAGATTTTAATAATATTACTAATAATAGTTACATAGTTACTAAGTTACTATAGTTACTACAAGTTCTAATACACTCTTATACTTAAGAGCGCAGTCATTAAAACTTACACTTGATAATATCAACATACTACTAAATAAACATGCACCTTATCAAAAAGTTACTAAAAAAGATACTAAATTTAAGGCTAAACCATGGATATCAGAAGTTCTCAAAAAATCAAAACAATACAAAAATAAACTTTTAAAAAAATATAGCAAGTCTAAAAATGAAGTAAGCAAAAAGGTATCTGTATTGAGTATAAAAACTTCCGAAACATACTCTAATCTAAACCTAAAGAATCTAAAGAAAATTATTACAACAGATACTTCAATGATGATATCAAAAATATAAAAGCAACCTGGAAATGCATCTCTAATATAGTCAATATTAAACCTAGCTTTACCACAAGCCCAACAATAGTTAACCACAATATTAAACCTATCTTTACCACAAGCGCAACCATAGTTACCCACAGCAATTTAACAATAAACCCAACAAACTTTGCAATGTTTTTAATAACTATTTTAACTAACATATATATATATATATATATATATATATATATATATATATATATATATATATATATATATATATATATATATATATATATATATATATATATATATATATATATATATATATATATATATATAAATTAACTTAGCAAAATTTTTTCTCATTTATATATATATATATATATATACATATACATATATATATATATATATATATATATATATATATATATATATATATATATATATATATATATATATATATATATATATATCCTTATAGTGTAGTCGAAAGAGTCTTTTAATGTAAAAA